GCAGAAAGACAGGGGTCTGTGGGGATAGACACTGGCCTGGTTCATGTGGTTGCAGATGTCCTGTAGAGGTGGGACAGAGCCAGCACCAGCATCCTAAGACACAGGCGGGAAATGACTGGAAAATGTCAAGAATGATCTTGTCTCCAGATCTCCAATCCAGAGGTACCACCGAGGCACAGGTTGACCTGCTGACCTCTGTGCTGCCAGGTATCTAGCCCACAGCTGTCTATCAGGGCCTAATGCTATGCGGGCGCTGCATGGCTGTGACAAAGGTGATGTTCTGGTCCGTGGGCTTTGGGGAGGCCTGTGGGCAGCTGGCACCTCCTAGACCTTCAGCACACAGCAGGCACGCTGTCCTGTGCATCAACAAACGCCAGAGAAAACCTTCAGGTGTAAATCAGAACTCCCCTGTTCTGATGCGCAATTCGGAGCCCCATAGGTTCTTGGACTTTTCTGAACCCCAATACTCATCTTTCAGTAGAAGCTACCTCATGGGGTGGTTGTAGACAGCAGCAGAAATCCTTATAACATGCAGGGAGTATCTGGGTGTAAGGTAGGCTGCCGTGTGGCTCATGGATGAATGGCATGAGGTACTCTGACCCTGCGTGCCCCCCTGGGGACAGAAACTTTCAGTTATTTTCAGTGCACTTTCAATGAGCTTTCAGCCATTTCCATCAAGAAGCAGGACCCATTTTCTCATCTCTAGACTTCTGCTTTGACCTAGATGTGCAATGGCACGTTCCTCTTTCTGCTCCTGGCCTGGCCTTCACCTTGAAGAGTTTTCAGACCAGCTGGATTGAGCCGAGGCTTCACCCAAGCTGACAGCTTGCTGGTCCCAAACCTCTGAGCAGAATCCTACCAACATCGCCACACCAGGCCCTGGGAGCTATAGAATGATCAATGGTCAATCAACTTACCAGGAACTGGGGCGAGGTTGGTTTCCACCTTTCTTGTGCCTGTAGTTAACTAAATTCCATGACTCTATAGATAACTAGTTCTCCCCCCGGATCCTCTGATGTTATGAGGACCTCCTCATAACACATCCTGATCTTCATGGAGCCTGGTTTGACTTTGAGGCCTGCTGCCATCTTTCAGTTACACCCCTCCCATCATCCCCATATGCTGAGACCCTTCCTGGCAGGCCGTGGCAAGCAGGCTCCGCAGGCATTCCCTGGCCTTCCTTCAACAGATAACCATGAAGTCATGTGCAGGGGCGCCTTGGATAGTCCAGCCCCACGATTCCCTGCGTAGGCCTGAGGCAGAGCTGTAGACACCAGAGGTGAGGTCACCAGCCACTTGCTGGTCTCCAAAGTGTAGGCCACGACACAGACCTGATCCATCCTGCAGGATGGCCTGGTCAGTGTGACCAAGGTTAGGGACAGAGTAGACCACTGCAGGGCTCCTGGCCAGGAAGCTGTAGGGTAAGCTGGGAGAAGAGCAGAGCCTATCCTGGGCCAAGGATTGAGGGATGAAGAGGAAGGCAGGCAAGGGGACCGTGTGAGTCGATGTCACGTGCTGAAAGGCCAATTCCCATATTGCCAACCGGGAGGAAGCCCATGGATCATCCTTCACCTCTGGGTGCCCCTTCTTAACCTCTCAGCTATAGCATATAAGTGGCTATAGGTTCCTGCCTTTTTCCAGAGGGTGCCGAGACTGGTATCCTGGATGCTAATGATCAGTGATTAAAGTTAGTTCCGAATCATCACATAAATACCCAGTAAACTAGGGTCTGAGGTCACAGAAGCAGCAGTGGGAGAATTGACCTTTCACCCCCCACAGAACCTGTGTTCCCATTGTGTCTCCAAGGGCAGGGACACTGCATTGGCCGCACATTTTAACCCATGCTCAGAGTCCATAAGCCCAGGCCTCTTCTCCAGACACAACTTCTGGGAGGGAAGTCCCTGCCCTGTCCCACCCATCTCCCTCTTTCAAAGCTGACTAGGGACAGCTTTGGCCAAACCTCCGCCTCCAGGCAGCCTGTCTGGATCTTTAACCACTTTCATAGATTATCGCTTAAATCCCATGAAAAGAACAAATCAAACTTAAGCACATGCAAGGCATTAGAGAAAGCCACATTCAGAGTGGAGTGCAGAGTTGGCCTCCTGCCAGCACTCGCTTGAAGGATCTAAAAGAAACTAGAGGCTGAGGGTCATTAAAGCTAAGCTATTTAATACCGGAAAAGGAAGTGTATTTTAAAAGCACCGTCCCATTAGTCTTAACTATTGCTTCATCCCGTCTTCCAGTTAAAACCCATAGCACATTTCTACCTCCTCTTCATTCATGGGAATGGAGGGGTGTGAGTAGGGGGTGCGTGGCTCTCTACCTGTGCGGAGTGAGCCCAGAATACCAGCTTGGGCTTGAGACGTTAAAGATAATCACATTCATGAGAGCCATTCACTCAAGTGACTCAGGATTTAAAGAAATGGAGTTCAGGTCAATAAGGAAGTGGTACTGTCTCTGAGCTCCCATGGCCACCCGTGGTGAAAATCTACTCACGCCACAGGGTTCCAGGTTAACGATGGGAAATCTCCATGCTCAAAGAGAAAGCTATCGATTTTGATTCAAGTGGCCCATCCTCTCTTGAATCCTTCCAGTCCGGTGGTCCTCCTGCTCCCTCCTCCTCTCAATTCTCCTGGCCCTACTGGACCACCAGGGCCTCGGGGAGGCAGTCTGCACACACCCCAGCCTCCCTTTTTCTGGAGCTCTATCTGCTTTCAGTGGTTTTACTAATTGGCTTCCCTAAGAGTCCACTTTAAGAAAGATTTCTATTTAAAAAGAACACCAACTGCTTTAGGCAAGCAGCCTCCGAGAGCTGGGCCTCCTCAGTGGCCAAGCGCGCATGCAAAAAACCAAAAAGACCCGAAACTTCCTAGCTGAATCTTAAATTAGTGCATAGGAGCCTGTCCCTTCACACAGAGATCAGACATAGCATTATCAAATAGCAGCCTGAGGGGAGAATGTTCTGGAAAGTTTTCTATCATAAAATCTCTTCACATGCCCAAAGTAGGCAAGTGACGTGAAATTCAAGAATCACGCGGAACAGGTTGCCACAGCTTCCCGATCTCCTGCACAGGAATACAGCCTGCCCTGGGTCCAAACATGTCCTTGCATCCTCTTGGAAACTGGCTGGGGTCACTGGTCCCAGTGATAACCTGCCACTTTTAATACCAGATCTCCTGTAGCCAGGCACAGGCCACCCTGACTATTGTACCTCCTTGCCATGAGCTATGGGGAAGTTTTGCAGCACTGACCTCTATGCATAGAGACAGAGAAGACCCATTCCTGAAAACCAAGGAAGAGAAATTCTCTCAAAAAGAACATGCCTCAAGAATGGTTTTATGGCCAACAGGCTGGTCTGATACCAGGATGTAAAGCAAGCGGTAAGAGCCCTGGGCACGCAAGGGTAGGATGAATGGCTAGGTTTTATCTGACAGTTGTTCTACTCAGTGTCCCAGTCCCTTTTTGTCCCTTCTGGTTCTGTTGAGTTCAGTTGCCAAATAATTCCTTTTGCTCTGGGAATCCAGACGTTAATATGAGCTTTACAGGAAATACCACAATAACCTCAAAAATGCAGTTGATTCTGTGTATTGCTCTCCATGTATGCTGTACCTGCTTATATATTTCATTTACATCCTGTCCTTCAGTGGCCAGCTAGCAAATGCAGCTGCAACAATGCCACTTGAGCTCATGATCAAGTCTCCACATTCCAGACCTTATCAGCCCTGGGATAGAAGGGGCTGACTGAATAGTGGGAGGGAGGGAGAAAAGCAAGGACAGGAGTGAAGGTGAATCAAATCAGAACAGAAAACAGAGAAGGGACAGGCCCAGCATCTCACCCTGCTGTCTCAAGCCTTTTGATGCTGGTCAGGGTGATAAGCCTGTGTCTCCATCCCTACCCAGCCCGAGACTCCTCAAGCGATGTGGCTCCTGCTGCTAATCAGCCATCTCTTTCCAGAGCTGTTCTCTGAGCAGCTGGGCTTGGCACTCAGGCTAGTAAACAAAATCTGACAGGACCTGTGCTCTTCTGAAGCCATGGTCTGTGTGGGGGAGCAGACAGTCATCAAATGCAAACAACCATCAAATCCTGACTATAACATGCACAGCACAGGAGGAGATGGTGGGCTGTGATTAGCTGTGGACCTGGGTGGGGCCTGGAAATTGGGCTGTGATTGGTGGATTGGTGTGGGACCTGGAAGGTGGGCTGTGATTGGCTGGGGGTCTGGGTAGGGCCTGGAGTCCTCCTTTGGCTTTAGGATCTGTGATGGCTCATTCCATTTCCCCAGATGAGAACTAGTGCTAAAGCAGAGCCATGCTGTCCATTTGGGATTTTGAGAAGATCTCCTGTCCAAGCCTGGTGGCAAGGGGCTACTGCTACTCATCAAAACACTCAAGCTCTCTAGTGACACTTCCCCCAAGGCATGTTCTTTCCCAGAGGAAGGCACTGCTGGATGCTTTCCTGCAGATTTGGTGCCTGTGTTCAGCGTGGGATTGCTATGCACCAGGTGCCCAACTTGGCAGCCCGGGCAAGGCAGAGCGGCTCACACGTTTTGAGAGGGAGGAAAGGTAAACTTCTTCCTATACCCTTGTAGAGTGAGCTATAGTGACCCCCAACCACCTCACGTCCACCCCCCATCTGGTTCCATGGTCAACTCCCCGGCCACCAGTATATTTAAGGCAGGACCAAGCTTGCATGTCTTGGAAAGGAAGTAATAAAAAGTGTTGGATACAATTCTGTCTGACTGGAAGCCACACAGCTAGGAATCTGCAGCTGAGCTCTTTGCATAGTGCATGGTTTAACCAATTATTTTTTAATTAGATTATGTACCAGGTGATGGTCAAAGAAGCAGCTAGAGGCAGAAACTCACCTGCGGGAGGAAGGAGGTTGCTCACTGCAGGACTTATAGGCAATTGCAGTAAAGTGGAGTTGTGGCCGACAGCCACCGGGCAGAATCCAGGAGAGGATGTGAGCATAATTCTCTACCCAAAAGAACACACAGGACTGTCACGTAGCCCTGGTGACAAGGCTGGTTTGGTCTGATTGCTTCCAATAATGTTTTCCCCAAGTAGGTACAATAAGCCTACACGAGCCTCTCCACATCTGCAGGAAGACAGAGCGGCTGTGTTTTGTTCTCCAGCCGTCAGGACCGCAGAGCCTGTCTTCTCCATCTACAGTGTAGAGCAGACAGGGTACTGAGTGGATGGGGACTGCTGCAGATCCAAAGCAGCCACCCAGGGGTGGCCGAGGGAAAACCCACAAGCCTCTGACCGAAGCCAAGCACTGCCAGTTTCTGGGCCATGGCTTTATAATCCAATTCTTGGCCGGCCCTGCTCTTTGGTCAAAGGTACCTTGACGGAGCCAAGCAGCCATTTTGTGCAGAATATGTCATTTGATTTATTGAACAACTACACTCTGGTGCCGGAACCTAGTAGTAGAGCCTTGAGGAAAACCAAGTCCATCCTCATCCTCAAAGCCCACCGCCTTGAAGGCAAGCAAGGGAGACACACCAGGCAGGTAAGATAAACAATGATGCACACAAACTGCTCTCAGGGAGCCAGGATGGGACAGGCAGCATCCGGGGAAGCTGCTGGCAAAAGCATGGTATTAGTCAGAGCAGTACAGAGAAGGAATGGAGAGAGGAGGCCGCAGGGAGGGCAATGCTCGGGATGCAATGAAACTGGAGGAAAATCTAGAAGGAAAATGTAGACGGAGAGTGAAGAGCACTCTGCTGTCTTCAGGTTATACTTTGTCCTCTGAGGACCACTGTGGTTTTTAGCCAGAGACAGTACATTGATTAAAGATACTCTTATAAATTGTTCAACAGATGAACTCTCCCCATAGCCAGAAAGGAATCTGTAAAAAGAAAGAGACTTAAAGGAAGAATGATCAAAATGGATGCTTTAAAAAAAATTCTACACAGTCAACTTCAGTAACTAGAACCATCATAAAGTCGAGGCTTCAGAAAGAATCCACCTGACACCCCTTGCGCTGCTATTCCTGTCCTCACAGAAGCTACATTTACAAATGACTTTCTTCAGTAGGTGATCTACTGAAGAAAACAGAACAATGCTCCTCAAAGCAGGACCAGGGGCCCACGTTTGATTCAGGGGAACTGTTTGACTCATAACTAATAAAATTAAAACTATTGTTAGGAAGACAGCAAATCTCTGCTCTTATAAAAGCCGGAATAAAGCAACAATTCTTCTCCAGGTTTAAGTGAAATATAATGTCTCTAATTCCACCCATCTATCACAACCCACCCTTTGAAAACTGCCAGTTGGAAAGGTCGGACTTAATTGATCAGGAGGGAGAGAATTTCCTGCCATCCTGTCTTCCTTCATAAGCCAAAGAGAATCAGTACTTTAAAATTCCAGGTAATCTTCATCAATTTCCCTTATTTATGCGTCCTGTCTGCTGTTTTCCCCCAGAAGTGGCCTGAGGAGACACACCTGACTCTCCATCATCCCCTTCTAGAAGCGTGTGCGCAGAGGGGTAGCGTTGATGCACCTGTTTTATAATATGCAGAATTGGAATTTGAAAAGGACTGTCTACCTTCCTCTGATTTCAAAAGCAGATGTGACTTTGAGTAGAAATTGTCATCTTTCCTACATTTTTTTCCTCCTTTCGGGTTTGGGTCCTATTAATCACTGAAATTTTATCCAAGCCAACAGATTTCAAAGGCCTTGCCAAGAGGACAATTTAGCCATAAGAAATCAGCTCCCCGTTCTCTGCAGCTTGGAATTTCTACAGACCTAGACAGCAAAGAGCTGCCTTGTGCAAACCAAAGAAGTAAAAATGAGAATCCCCAGCCCACATTCCCTTCAAACTTCCTGCCCCAGCACCATGAGCCTTGTCAGGACTCAGCTACCGGCAGATCTAACTTCTGAAGAGGCTGCTGCCCACGCCACTCAACTTGAGGGTCACTGCAAGGAGACCAGAGAATCCTAAATCAGTCAAGTCTCAGGAGAGCTAAGACATAGGAACAGGAAGGATTGATCTCAAGATGAAATGCAACTGATAGCGAAGTCCACGCTAGCCTGGGAGGTGTCTTCCTTTGGAAAACAAACCACCCACAGAGGCTTAGTCACAACAGTGCTCTTCCTACTCAGACCTGTGGGTCTTTGGGTTCGCAGCCTTATCCTCTTCCCAGACCCACATTCTCTCCTGCAGAAACCTCAGCTGTTTTCATGGCTTCTCAAGACCTGTAGCCCTGCTTGCCTTTTTATTTATTTTTCCAGTCCTGGAGCTTGAACTCAGGGCCTGGGCACCATCCCTCAGCCGCTTTGTGCTCAAGGCTAGTGCTCTACCATTTGAGCCACAGCACCAATTCTGTCCTTTTCTGAGTAGGTTAGAGATAAGAGTCTCATGGACTTTTCTGCCCACGCTGGCTTCGAACCGTAATCCTTCGATCACAGCCTTCTGAGTAGCTAGGATTACAGGTGTGAGACACTACTGTCTCAAGAGGCAAGCTCCTGTTTGCCTCTTAAGTCTACCCAAACACCCCCCGCTTCTTGGATTTCCAGAGCAGATGTCACATTGGCCTCTCTCTGTCCAAACCTTCCTATGTAGGACCCTGTCATCTGTGCCACCCCGTGACCTCTGTGCCACCCCGTGACCTCTGCACCCCTGACAGGAAGTCCTCACCAGAGGCAGCCTCTCCATCTTGGACTTCGGCCTCCAAAACTTTGTGCCACACGCACTTCCCTTGCTTATAATTTACCCTGTCAGTGGGATTCTGTGAATAGCAGCAGAAAACAGATTAAGACGGGAAAGCAGGTTCCTGATCCAAATTCCCTGTGCTTTTCTGGAGGAGAAATCTGGACCGGTATGGGGATAGCAACCCAGCTGAGCTCAGGGCCATCATGGTAGAAAGGACTCTGTGCTGATCACACCACGTCAGACTCCTCTGCAGGCTCCTAGGCCTTTGCTAGGCCTCATCACCGGCCTGCTGCGTCCAGTTTGCACGAGGAGCCTCATTGAACCACATCCTGGTGAGAATGCTGCCAGGCTGGTTCAGGGAGAGCAGGCTCCGTTCTGGTCCTCCCACCTTAGTGTCAACTTCTCGTAAGCTTCCATCCACCAAGGGTCTCACCCCTGCCCTCTGCATTCAAAGCCAAGCTTAGCACTGTATGGAAGCCTCCCCCATCCCCAACTTCAGAAGCTCTGAACAGAATCTGTCTTCTTATTTCTAAGGACTACCCGATGCAAATTTGTACCGATGGAACAACCTTAAAGGAAGACACCCAGAACACAAGGGGGCGCTGTAGAAAGTCAGCCCTGGGGAAAGGTGTGACTCTTTGCTTTACACCAGAACCCCAAGGTTGAAGTCTCTCTTATGGTGTTGGGTCATAATCAGCCCTCTGACAATAAAGACAGACTTCAAAAAGAAAGCCAGGAAATAAGTCTCCATCCCCACCCACAGTGACTGGGCCACTTCCTGCAGCCTAAACCATCAACCCCCAGCCTGGGGCCAGCACACACTGGTCCCTGTGTCATTAAGGGATTCTGCATCTCTGGAAGAGCATCCACTGTGCAAGGCCCAATTAGGCCCACCTTGGCCTGACCTGATCATAAGCCAAAAAGTGCCAGGATGTATACTGAAAGAGTTCCCAGATCCAACGGCTCTCACAGCCAGCTTGACTCTTTTCCTTAGGCCTGCCTTTGCCATCCAGACAAAAGCATCTGTCAGTGGAGTCACGTTCACAACACAGGCAAGTTCTGGCCTGGGTTTGAAAGGGTCCAAACTAAATATGTGCCACTACTGGAGGAGAAGCTACAAACCGTGTTCCAGGGGCCTCCAGAGAGGGCCAAGTACAAAACCTTCTTTCAAATAATCTTTTCAGCATTGTGAACACTAGCATACATTAATAAGACAAGGGGTTCATTGTGATAGGTCCATAGATGCGTACAATATACTTGGAAGAAGTTCTCCGCCTTCATGAGATCCCCATTCTTCCCTTATTAAAACAGTGTTTGCTGTGTCCCCTTAGGACATGGTCACATATGCATGCAAAACGCTTTGCTCCTCTTCACCCCCTGGGTCCCTCTCCTTCCCCCTCCCCTTTCTGCCCAGGATGCTAGCTCTCTAGAGAGTACCGCCTTGTGGTCTTGGATTGACTATGTTGGTTATGGAAAGAAATACAGGTACTTAACATCTTCTGGGAAGACATGTGTGGGCCGAAAATGAAGAGAGAGGCTATACACGTGTATACACACATATACACATGGAAAGGCATTATGCAGATGTATTTACACACACATACATTTTTTTATCCACAGTAGATCATCGGCCGCATTTATTCATCAAAAATTGAAGGTTGAAAAACTAACGTCTGCTACATGAAAACATTCTTTTGGAATTTGTTTTTGCTTGAGCCACTGAGTTGAATATGCCCTTCACTCAGTAGTCTTATTACACTACTGTCGGAAAGTCTGACCTAAATCCATATGATTTCTAACCGGAAGGAGGTGGGGGGGGCTGCTTTCACATAATTTATGTTAACAAACTTATCAAAGTTCTGAACTGTAACCGTCTCACCTGCTGTTTTTACAGCTTCATGGCTACGAGCTGAAGCCTCATAAAAAATGATTTATGGATGCACAGCTTCCACACCCACATTGAAATTGCACGCATTCTCTGCTGAGAATATTACCTGTGTGTCCTCCTGCCCGTTCCTGGAAGAACACTCAGTGCAGCCCTGAACCCGCCACTCAGCACCTGGGTCACCTCGGCTCCGCCTGAGCAGCCAATGCTCCTTTGTCATGGTTTGCTTTTTCAGAGTCTGCTGGCTGCTGGCAGAAACCCTGAGGGTTTAGAAATTCAAATCAGCCTCAAATGATGGAACCTCTTAGCTAGCATCTCATGTTTAGAGGGAAGCGAGGCTCCAGTGTACATTTCATTATTAACAAAAGTAAAGGAGAGAGAATGAGCAAATGAATGAATGAATGAATGAATGAAAAATGAATGAATGAATGTAAAGAGCCCAGTTTTTTACCTGCACTCAAAAGACTTCCATTTCTTTCCCAGGCAGAGGGATCTTTGGGGGATGATAAAAGCTGACTGTGGATCTGGAAAATAAGCAGAAATCTTTCTCAGTGTTATGTTTTCACTTGCCTGATACATAATCTTCAATAATGTATCTTATTTTTTAAAACAAATAAACAAACAAAAATCCCTAGGAACATGCATAGACTGTCTCCTTTCTCCCAGGAAAGAACTAGGGAGTTTGTGAATGCATAGCTCCATTTTCTCCAGAGTTAACTCTACCAGTGAATAAAAGATATGTTTCTGATCATTTCAAAATGCACCAGAAGGAAGAAAGGAAAGAAGGGAGAAAAGCTGTAATCAGCCAACATCGATTCTGCTGTGGGTTTTGTTAGTAGATCAAAGAAACACATCTAATAGGTCAGTTCCAGCCCACCGCGGTGCTGGTGGGAGGCAGAAGACCTAGAACTGAGAATTCAATAAATATTGATAAATGGATAAACCGTGAGCAATTAAGTTTCAGGAATTAGCTTTTAAAGCCCAATAAAAAGAAAATAAATGCAAACAGAAGTGCGCTGCTGTCTTCACTTAGGTTGGCAGACTGGTTGCTCTGCCAGGAGGCAAAGGTTTGTTCTGCAACACTGTGGGTGGTGATGCTTTGGACTGTGGTGATCATTACAAAACTCATTCAGGTCTGCCCACATCTCCTTCAGCCCTCCGTGCCCCATGGCCTGATCCCCTCAGCCCCTCAACTGACAGCTCTATCCTAACCTGGGCTCACTCTAGGGTCTTGTTCAGGTCCTTGGGTCATTTCAGAGCCCCAAGTCTGAGTGAAACTTCCTGGTACCCACTTCCCATTGTGGGGAAGGGAGGAGGGGCTGGGAGAGGCATCAGAAGATGCTGCAGACAAATGATGTCCCTGTCTCAGGGAACAGGCAGCCTTCCTTAGACACTGTGGGGTATAAGGGAAGGAATGGGGTGGGGGAGGGAGGCGGACGTGGGAGTGTGGACAGGGCTGGGCTGAGATCTAAGAAGTCCGTGGTTAGCAGCATTGCTGTCCCCTCCTGGCTCCACTCAGCCTTGGCCGCCTAGCAACATGATTATCGATTGTAAGTGCTGACAGCCACTGTGCTAGTACCAGAGCCAGTCCCCAGCTCCACACTCCCCAATGTCACCTCGTCATGACTATGAGAAAGACCAGCTGCCACCAGCCCCTCTGTGGCAGCTGAGGGACCAAGGGCCCAGTGGAGGAACAGGCCAAGGTCGCGGCGGGAAGGAGATGAGATGGAGCCAGGTCTCCAACCAGTTTTTATAGCAACGTCAGACCCAGGGTCCTGCAGCTCCCACCCGGCCTGTTCTAAAGATCATCGCCATTATCACTCCTGAGGGTTATTATCTGGCTAGTTAGCACTATCTGGCAAAGCTTGCAAGTAAGCTATTATCCCTCCATTTGTCCTTTCCTAGGACTTGGAAAACACACAAGAAAGACTAGATAATGCACAATCACTTTTCAGAAAGGAAAATGGTGGTGTGATGTAGGATGTGAGGTTAGAAGAGAACTTAAACCCCATTTAGCAGCAGCGGTGAGCTATGTCTCTGCTGCATTGGCACAACCCACCCAAGTAGGGCTTTGGGGGAGGCCACACGAGGAGCCCCCATGGTCATTGGGCAGTTACAGCTCAAACAGTAGAGCTCCTGAGTTCAAATCCCAGGAAAGGAAGGGAGGGAGGGAGAGAAGGAGGGAGGGAGGGAGGGAAGGAGGGAGGGAGGGGAAAGAAAGATCCCAAGAGGTCATAAAAAATATGGAACATTCCAGTGTGCCAAAGTCTTACTATTACCTCCTTTTTCACTCCTAAAATCTCTTAAGAAATGGCCGGGAGGCCTGAGCATGTCTGCTATTTCTGCTTTGGAGAAGGTTCCGGTTTTTGTTGGGACTAAGGCCCAGGAATGGTAAACTGCCTGTTCACCAAAGCCGAGGAAATGGTGTCTGTCAGCTCCACCAGCCCTCCTGCCTGTCACCCCCAGGCAGCGGCCACCGCTTCCCAGAGGACAGGTCAGCCGGTCAGCACCGCCCACAGAGGTTCTGAGGTCAGGCTGTGACTGAGATACCAACAGCAAGTTCTTCCGCAAATTCCAGCGGCAGCGGCGCGCACACGCGCAAGCAGCCCGGGAGCCGTGGCTGAATGCGCAGCTGTGGTTACAGGGAGCCGCACGCACACGTAGGACTTCACACTGCATAGAGCAACTTGCCCGTGTTCTCCCCCTGGAGCCTCCCAAGTCCAGCAACCGGGCCTATGCCACTAGCACACCGCTCCTCTTCTGTCCTGGCCTTCCCTTCAAGATACTCTGTTTGGCTCCAGAATCCATAGAGGGCCCATGTCTGACAGTTTCCCTCCCTAATCTGACAGCAAACCTTACCTAAACTAACCCAAGGCTATTTATGATGGCTATCTTATTATTTTATTCCATTTAGTATGGATTTTTATTACCAAAGTATCAGTGAGTTTAATTGAAAGGTCAGCTTAGAGTCTCTGTACAAGCTGTAGATTTGTAAAATGGAAAGAATTGCTGTTAGCCACATTGGCTCCCCAGGGTTTGGGATGGAAAATGGAAGACCAGAGCCAATGTGCATTCAATGCACATTCAACAATGCACATTCAATGGACACTGGTGACCAGTCCTCCATTCCTCACAGTAACCCCCTACCACAGACCCCCCTACCACAGACCCCCCCATCAGAGATCCCCCCTACCATAGATCCCCTTACCACAGACCCCCGCCACCACAGACCCCCCCTCCCACAGACCTCCCTACCACAGACCCCCCTACCACAGACCCCCCTACCACAGACCCCCCCTACCACAGACCTCTCTACCACAGACCCCCCCTACCACAGACCCCCCTACCACAGACCCCCCTACCACAGACCCCCCTACCACAGGCCCCCCTACCACAGACCCCCCCTACCACAGACCTCTCTGGCTGCTCTGGATAGAGATACATATGGAGAGATTACAGAATGTGCTCTAGGTCCTAGATCTACCTAACCAGGAGATGTCCATCCTGGTTCAGATACTCCCACATCACCACCGAATGCAGGCACATAGACGTTCTCCTCCCCAGCTGCAGCTGCATGCAGTGTATGTGTGTGTGTGTGTGTGTGTGTGTGTGTGCGTGCGCATGTGCGTGCGCACATGCATTTGCCTGGGAAGGGTCCTGAATGGCGCTGGGACTTCATATACCTCAGGAAAGAAGAAGAGAGTGAACAGTCGGGGATCTTAGAGGTCTACACAGATCCTCCCTGCCTATAGCCTCTCTGGATACTGGCAAAGTAAACCAAAGGGAGCGCCCAAATCTATTTCTCTTCCAAGGAGTCAGAAAACAAGGCTGAATCTTCCGTTCAGGACAATGATACAGGCTGTTAAAGTAAAACGCAAGCCAGTCACCAGTTTCTACCACCTCCACCGAAGGTTTGTTCCATGGGAAGACAGACCCATGGAGTGGCTAGACCTAGGCTGAATAATCCTGCCTCTCCAATAGCAGTCAGAGGCACCATCAGATGGTCTTTGCAGAGCTACAATGTTTATTTTCAATCTTATGAACTCTCTTCTGCAACAGTAATTAGTGTCAGACAGTGTATTTTCTGGTTAATGCAACCCTGCACCTATAATAACTCAAATCAGAGATTTCTCTCTCCCCCGTGACTGCCTCTTCATACTTCATCTCTTCATGTTTACATCTGGTTTAACTTTTCCTAATCTAAAATAAATCAGCATGAAAAGCATTAGATTTTTCATTTAGATTCTCAATTGCCTTTTATTACCGAGATAATATCCCTTATCTGATTGTGAGTGGGGGCATTGCTCTTTGTCAGGACGTGGATGAGCTGCTGTTCTTCAGCCTCTCTCTCTCCTTGCTCTTCTCTTCAAGTGTGGTGCCTGGTGGGCTTCTGATTTGAAAATGGGACAACTCGAGGTGTGGGGGTGTATTTATTATCTCCATCATTCTTCCCCCGTTTACAACATAAGCAGGAAGGCAGGGCTTCTCCACTAACCCAATGAGAGGAGGTCTGCACACCAGCTCCACCCACCGCAGCCTCGGTTTGTTTGCAGGCATAAGTGACAGCAGCAAACCTGAAGCTCATGACTGGAGATTTCCATGCAAACACCGGGCTGGGGGATGGGGGGGGGGGGGACAGACGGGGGGGGGTGGAATAAGGCTAGCATAAAATCATGTTAATCACCCAGGAAGTAAATCACATTTAGCTGAAGTAGTTTGCAGAGCAAAGAGGAAGGTGTCCCCGCATTCCTTGAGGATTCCTTTCCCTGCACTCCGCCTCTTAGTTGCAACATTTGCCTCTTAGGTCAAAAATTCCAGCAGCAGAGTGCATTTCTTGTACCATGTGGAAACATTTTCCTGAGTAATTGTTTACCCTCATGCCCTTCTTCCCTGAAGTTAGAGTCCTGTGCAGCTAGAACCACCTCAGTACAGGGACCTGAAGTCATGCTGACTTTGGAATGCCCCCAGAAAGTTTTGAGAATCCAATAACCCACCGGAGTCTATAACCTTTGACTCCATGGAGGTTGTTTTTCTGCTTTCAAAGCAATACAGGCAAAAAAAAATTAAGCACCAAGCAGGGCAAAGGCAGTTTCTGCCCCCAGCTCACCTGTCCCCAGAACTCCTGGCCGGGTGACAGACTGGAGGGGCAGAGGGAAAGGACATTTAACATTTGATACATTTACACTCCTGGCTTCTCTATGCTGTATGGTTTGGGGCAATCAGACTGAAAGCAATCTAAAAGGAGTCCTTTTTATACCTGGTTTTACATCTTCTGCAGAATTAGGGATATAATGACTTGGGCTCGCTGAAGGCTAGCACAATTTGGTCCCTAATGGCTTTATCAGAGGAAAATTATAACAGCTGCACTCTGGCTGTTCCATGAGCTGCACCCTGCTAAACGCTTCATGGCGTTCTATAATCTCCATGGCAACGCTGGAAGGAAGGGCTCATGATAATCCCATCTTAAAGGCCAGGAGGCACTGCTCTTCATATTACTGCTCATAGAAAATTAACAACAGTGTGG